TGCGACTTAAGCAACGTATGTGGCAGGCATTGGCTTGTTCAGTAGACTCTCCTCTACAGTTCTATTTCAGTGGGAAGCCTTACAGTTGAACAGTTGTGTTGTTAAAGTGTGAACTATAGAACCCTGTGCAGACGGTCCGTCAATGCGACTTAAGCAACGTATGTTGCAGGTACTGGCTTGTTCAGTAGTCTCTCCTCTACAGTTCCATTTTGGCAGGAAGCCTTAGCATTGAATGGTTGTGTTGTTAAAGTGCGAAGTATGGAACCCTGCAGATGGTCGGTCAATGCGACTTAAGCAACGTATGTGGCAGGTACTGGCTTGTTCAGTAGACTCTCATCTACAGTTCCATTTCGGTGGGAAGCCTTAGCATTGAACAGTTGTGTTGTTAAAGTGTGAACTATGGAACCCTGTGTAGATGGTTGGTCAATGCGACTTAAGCAACGTATGTGGCAGGTACTGGCTTGTTCAGTAGACTCTCATCTACAGTTCCATTTCGGTGGGAAGCCTTAGCATTGAACAGTTGTGTTGTTAAAGTGTGAACTATGGAACCCTGCACAGATGGTCAGTCAATGTGACGTAAGCAACGTATGTGGCAGGTACTGGCTTGTTCAGTAGACTCTCATCTACAGTTCCATTTCAGTGGGAAGCCTTAGCATTGAACAGTTGTGTTGTTAAAGTGTGAACTATGGAACCCTGTGTAGATGGTCGGTCAATGCGACTTAAGCAACATATGTGGCAGGTACTGGCTTGTTCAGTAGACTCTCATCTACAGTTCCATTTCGGTGGGAAGCCTTAGCATTGAACAGTTGTGTTGTTAAAGTGTGAACTATGGAACCCTGTGTAGATGGTTGGTCAATGCGACTTAAGCAACGTATGTGGCAGGTACTGGCTTGTTCAGTAGACTCTCATCTACAGTTCCATTTCGGTGGGAAGCCTTAGCATTGAACAGTTGTGTTGTTAAAGTGTGAACTATGGAACCCTGCACAGATGGTCAGTCAATGTGACGTAAGCAACGTATGTGGCAGGTACTGGCTTGTTTAGTAGACTCTCATCTACAGTTCCATTTTGCGGGAAGCCTTAGAATTGAACGGTTGTGTTGTTAAAGTGTGAAGTAAGGAACCCTGCGCAGATGGTCAGTCAATGTGACTTAAGCAACGTATGTGACAGGTACTGGCTTGTTCAGTAGATTCTCCTCTACATTTCCATTTTTCAGGAAGCCTTAGTATTGTTATTTATATACTAGCCGTCCCCTGCCACACGTTGCTGTGGCCCACATGGGGTTTCTGTGTGGGAGGTTGGCCCAATTCTATCGTTGGTGGGGTTCAGAATGCTCTGTGATTGTAGGTGAACTATAAATCCCAGCAACTACAACTCCCAAATGTCAAGATTCTATTTTCCCCAAACTCCACCAGTGTTCACATTTGGGCATATTGAGTTTTCGTGTAGAGTTTGGTCCAGATCTATCATTATTTGAGTCACTGCCCACCAAACCCTTCCAGTATTTTCTGTTGGTCATGGGAGAACTGTGTGCCAAGTTTGGTTCAATTCCATCGTTGGTGGGGTTCAGAATTCTTTGATTGTATGTGAACTATAAATCCCAGCAACTACAACTCCCAAATGACAAAATCAAAAAATTTTGAGTGAAGGACATATATTGGGTTGTTAGGTGTCTTGCGTCCAAAGTTGGTGTCAATTTGTCCAGTGGTTTTTGAGTTCTGTTAATCCCACAAATGAACATTACATTTTTATTTATATAGAAGTGTGAAGTATGGAACCCTGTGCAGGCGGTCGGTCAATGCGACTTAAGCAATGTATGTGGCAGGTATTGGCTTGTTCAGTAGACTCTTCTCTACAGTTCCATTTTGTGGGAAGCCTTAGAATTGAACGGTTTTGTTGTTAAAGTGTGAAGTATGGAACCCTGTGCAGACGGTCAGTCAATGCAACTTAAGCAACATGCAGTCATTAAATTCTTGACCGCAGAAGGTGTCACCTCAACATTTTAAAACTTACTCACCCAACAACGCACAGTACTCACATCAACACAATCGCCATAAACAGCTTGCATTCTCTGATTAATCTCCTTTGGGGTGACACCTTCTGCTCTCAAGAATTCAATAACTGCACGTTGCTTAAGTCGCATTGACTGACTATCTGCGCAGGGTTCCATACTTCACACTTTAACAACACAATCGTTCAATGCTAAAGCTTCCCGCCAAAATGGAACTGTAGAGGAGAGTCTACTGAACAAGCCAGTACCTGCTGCATCCGTTGCTTAAGTCGCATTGACCGACCGTCTACGCAGGGTTCCATACTTTGCACTTTAATAACACAACCGTTCAATGCTAAGGCTTCCCACCAAAATGGAACTGTAGAGGAGAGTCTATTGAACAAGCCAGTACCTGCGGCATCCGTTGCTTAAGTCGCATTGGCTGACCGTCTGTGCAGGGTTCCATACTTTGCATTTTAACAACACAACCGTTGAATGCTAAGGCTTCCCACCAAAATGGAACTGTAGAGGTGAGTGTACTGAACAAGCCAGTACCTGCCGCATCCATTGCTTAAGTCGCATTGACTGACCGTCTGCACAGGGTTACACACTTTGCACTTTAACACAACTGTTCAATGCTAAGGCTTCCCGCCAAAATGAACTGTAGAGGAGAGTCTACTGAACAAGCCAGTACCTGCAGCATATCAGTAGTGCCATTTGTTGAGCAGTTACAAAGGTGGAGGCATTACTTTTCATTCAGCCCTCGTAGAATACTAACAGCAGGGACTCAAAGGGTTGAGGCAAGGCAACACCCCGGGGCCAGAAGGGCCCAGCAGGAAGTGCCGGGATGCGGAGAAAAGTGTGGAAATCACAGAGGGAAGGAGGGATGACACTTCTGCTTCCGGTCCTGCCTCTTTCACCCCCTTCCTCCCTCCTTCTCCTCCTTGTTTTGCCTTTTTCGCTTACTGGGAATGGAGAGGGAGTTGGGGAAATGCGCTCCTTTAATTGAAATGCTGGAGCAAAAGGAGGGCGTCGGATAGGACGGAATGTCGGATAAGCGAAGGTCGGATAAGCGAGACCCTACTGTAATCAAAACTTGTTGGCTGAGAGTGACAACTTTACTTTCTGATAGTCCATTGTATTAAAAATATTTCATGGAAAAAATATTAAATCTATTGCATAAAATTAACATCAGGCTACAAGAGGCAGTAAATGAGATTTAAATCCTATCTCCTGGACAGCTAGTTATGTGCAAAGGCAGCTGTTGCAAAATCCGAAAAAAAGGAATCTGAAATCCAACATAGTTCTGGTCCCATGCATTTTGGACACGGGATACTAAGCTACACAATACTGTGTTGTTGAAGGCTTTAAAAATTTTACGGTCTCTGTTTTTTGATATTGGAATTGAATATTTACCTTTGTTTTGTTGGAAACCGCCCTGAATCCCCATGGAGAGATAGGGCAGCATACAAATGAAATTATTATTGTGTTGTCGAAGGCTTGCATGGCCGGAATCACTGGGCTGCTGTGAGTTTTCAGGGCTGTGCGGCCATGTTCCAGAAGCATTCTCTCCTGATGTTTCCCCTGCATCTATGGCAGGACTCCTCAGAGGTTGTGAGGTCTGTTTGAAACTAGGCAAGTAGTGTGTGTGTGTGTGTGTGTGTATAGTTAGTTAATTAGTTAGTGAGATTAACATAACCCAAAAACCACTGGACGAATTGACACCAAATTTGGACAAAAGACACTCCTCAGGCCAATGAGTGATCATCACTTATAAAAACACTGAAAAACACTGCAGAAGAGATTTTAAAAGCCAAAAAAATACATTACAACACATGTGCAAAACCACATATATACGCATACACACATATATACACATATACACTAATATATGCACACACATCTGCATATCTATACACACACAAAGCACATATACACCGACTGGGCCACACAACGTGTGGCAGGGGACAGCTAGTACACACACACACATATACACACACATATATACATATACACAAATACAGACACATATACACATATATACACATATTCACAAATACACACACACACACAAAACACATATACACAGTCTGGGTCACAGTATGTGGCAGGGGACAGCTATACACACACACACACACACATATATATATACACGCATACACACATATACACAAATACATACACACATATGCACATATATACACATATTCACAAATATACACACACACACAAAACACATATACATAGACTGGGCCACAGCAATGTATGGCAGGGGACAGCTAATACACACACACACACATACACACACATATACACACATATATACACATATACACAAATACATACACACACACATATATATGTGTGTGTGTGTATGTATTTGTGTATATGTGTATATATGTGTGTGTGTACACATATACGTGTGTGTGTGTGTGTGTACACATATTCACAAATATATACACACACATATACACATATACACACACAAAACACATATACACAGACTGGGCCACAGCAATGTGTGCCAGGGGACAGCTAGTATATATATGCACACACACACACACACACACTTGTGGAACACTATCCAGGGTTGGAGAAAGAACTCTTCGTCTGTTTGAGGCAAGTGTGAATGTTGTAATTGGCCACCCTGACTATCACTGAATGGCCTTTTGTATTCAAAGTCTGGCTGCTTCCTGCCTGGGGGAAGCTCACTTGCCAAGTTTCCAACAGACCTCCCAAGCTCTGAGGATGCCTGCAAAATGTCAGGAGAGAATGCTTCTGAAACACAGCAATACAGCCCAGAAAACTCACAGCAACCCATAACCAATACTGTTCTCCTTTTCTGGTGCTTTGTGCGGAGGACGGAGAGGTAATCCATCATTTCCTTGCCTCAATTTATGTTTATATATGAATGGGAATGAGGCCTTCAAAACATTTTGTGAGATCTTCTACCCCTGATTTCATTCCTACGAGAAGAGCAAGCGATGATAAATCTCTCTTTGCATTTCCTTAGATCATGAAGAGCTCTGTGGCAGCAGTTATGGATCTTTCTGTCTAAACGGTGGGATTTGTTACATGATACCAACGGTTTCCAGTCCTTTTTGCAGGTACGGTACACAGCTGAGAATTGCATTTTTGCTTGAAGGCAGCTGCTTGTGTTACAAGCCAGAAACCCCTCGAGGTCGGGAGCAATCAGCTACTCTAAAGAAACCAATGCTTTCGTCAACATACATAGTTTCTTATTGCTTAAGCGTGCGCTGAATTCATTTACGATAATATATACAAAGGCCAGCTCCAGGTATTTGTAGGGAAGAGACTCGTAGTGCTAGCCATTTAGGAGAGCAAAAGGTGGTATTGCCTGTTCAGCGCCTTCCAAGTCGCCCAGTTTTCTGTGTGCCCAGGGGGGAGTCTCTCATCTGGTATCAGCCACTGATTGAGGTTCTGGGTTTGAGCCTGCCACTTTTGGACTCTCGCTTGCTGAGGTCTTCCTGCAAGTATCTCTGTAGATCTTAGGAAACTATTTCTTGATTTAAGGCGTTGGCATGCTGGCTGATATCCAAACAGAGGATGGGCCAGACATGTCACTGCCTATACGGCACCGGCCCAGCGTACCTGTCCGAACGTATCTCCTTCTACGTCCCGCCTAGGAATTTAAGGTCTTCTGCTCTTGGCCCCGCCCTTGTCACAAACGAGATTGGCGGGGACGAGGGACAGGGCCTTCTCGGTGGTGGCCCCCCGCCTGTAGAATTCACCCCCTGGGGAAATTAGATCATCGTCATCCCTCCTCGCTTTCAGAAGGAAATTAAAAACATGGATATGGGACCAGGCCTTTGGGTAATCTGGCAGACTGACAAAGATCAATGACGACTAAAGTTTTGGAAACGGACTGTGATAAGCGGAATGAATTTATTAATTACGGACTTGGCGAAATGATGGCCACCAGGATTGCTTTTTACTGTATTAATGTAATGTTTTAACTGTCTATAATTATTGTTACTATGTATTTTATTGTGTTGAATTGTAGGCATCAAACACATGCCGGTTGGAAGCCGCCCCGAGTCCCCCTTACGGGGTTGAGAAGGGTGGGGTAGAAGTACCCGAAATACATAAATAAATAAATTGGTCCTTTCATTGCTGGCTGCTACTTCCCGGCAGATATCAAGTGATGCAATACCGCCTAAACAGTATTATTACTTCAGTAGACATTCTGTGATAATGCGGCATGTCTCATGAAGAGCCACATCCACTTTTTTTAATGTGGTGAGATGTGTTCCACACTGGGCATGCATACTCAGCAGCAGAGTAGCATAGCACGAGGGCAGATGCCTTCACTGTGTCTGGTTGTGATCCCCAGGTTGTGCCAGTCAGCTTTCGTATGATATTGTTTCTAGTGCCCACTTTTTGCTTGATGTTCAGGCAGTGCTTCTTGTAGGTCAGAGCACGGTCCAGAGTGACTCCCAGGTATGGTGTGCTGTAATGCTCCAGTGGGATTCCTTCCCAAGTCATCCTCAGAGCCCGGGATGCTTGTTTGTTCTTGAGATTAAAAGGACATGTCTGCATTTTAGATGGATGAGGAATCAGCTGGTTTTCCCTGGAATAGGCAGTAAGAGCACCTAAAACTTTGGAGAGCTTCTGTTCCACCATTTCAAAGCTCCCTGCTTGAGTGGTGATGACGCGATCGTTGTCATAGATGAAACTCTTGTAAGTCAGGGCACGGTCCAGAGTGACTCCGAGGTATTTGGGTATGCTGCAGTGCTCCAGTGGGATTCCTTCCCAGGTCATCCTCAGAGCTCGATAGGCTTATAACAGTGTTTCTCAACCTTCGTAATGCGGCGACCCCTTAATGCAGATCCTCATGTTGTGGTTTTTTAATTATTATTATTATTGTCATGTCATGTTGTTATTTATATAGATGGAGGAAGCTCTGTCCTTGATGAAACTTGGCAACCTTAGATGGGAAGTGGACATTCCAGGTTGAGCTACTGGCAGCATTTCCCAAAATACGGAGTTTCCCAAAGGGCCGATCTTCCTTTCCCTGCCTCCCCTCCTTAGTCAGGGCTGTACTTTCCCTCTTGCTGATTCAGCCCAGGATTGTTTTCTGAGAACTAGGCAAATGCGATACCCCAGCTCCAGAACTCTTTCCTCAAGGGCAGGCTTCTCGGTCCTTTGAAGCAACTGAGGGCCCTTTCTGTTTCAGATCCAAAAACCTTTCTTGAAGGACTCTAAGCAAGAATGAACAATTGTTGTTGCAATGACCATTGGATTGCAATGACGGTTGGATTGCAATGACCATTGAATTGCAATGACCGTTGGATTGCAATGACCATTGAATTGCAATGACTGTTGGATTGCAATGACCATTGAATTGCAATGACGGATTGCAATGGCTGTTGGATTGCAATGACGGTTGGATTGCAATGACCATTGGGTTGCAATGACCGTTGGATTGCAATGACCATTGAATTGCAATGACCGTTGGATTGCAATGACCATTGAATTGCAATGACTGTTGGATTGCAATGACCATTGAATTGCAATGACTGTTGGATTGCAATGACCATTGAATTGCAATGACGGATTGCAATGGCTGTTGGATTGCAATGACTGTTGGATTGCAATGACCATTGGGTTGCAATGACCGTTGGATTGCAATGACCTTTCAAATACAATAACCATTGGGCTGCAATGATCATTGCATTGCAATGACCACTGAATTGCAATGACCACTGAATTGCAATGACCTTCGAATTATAATGACCACTGAATTGCAATGACCATTGGATTGCAATGACCTTTGAATTACAATGACCATTGGATTGCAATGACCTTTGAATTACAATGACCATTGGGTTGCAATGACCATTGGATTGCAATGACTGTTAGATTGCAATGACCGTTGGTTTGCAATGACCGTTGGTTTGCAATGACCGTTGGATTGCAATGACCATTGGATTGCAATGACCATTGGGTTGCAATGACCGTTGGATTGCAATGAGCGTTGGATTGCAATGACCATTGGGTTGCAATGACCACTGAATTGTAATGACCTTTGAAATACAATAACCATTGGATTGCAATGACCGTTGGATTGCAATGATCGTTGAATTGCAATGACAATTGGATTGCAATGACAATTGGATTGCAATGACCGTCAGATTGCAATGACCGTCAGACTGCAATGACCATTGGATTGTAATGACCATTGGATTGCAATGACCGTCAAATTGCAATGACCGTTGAATTGCAATGACCATTGGATTGCAATGACCATTGGATTGAAATGACCGTCAGATTGCAAAGACTGTCGGATTGCAATGACCGTTGGATTGCAATGACCGTTGGAATGCAATGACCATTGAATTTATTTATTTGGGGTTCTTTTACCCCGCCCTTCTCACCCCGAAAGGGACTCAGGGCGGCTTACAGAACAAGGCACAATTTGATGCCTGCATCATAAACAATCGTACACAAAATTACAACAATTCACAGTTGACATGCATGCATTATAACCATAAAATCAATAAAATCAATAAAATCATTAAAACCAAATACAAACCCAGTTTCTCCTCTTACATGGTCAGCGTTTGTTAACACCTAGATCTAGTTTTTCGTTCCATTCATCCATCCTGCTGGTCTTACTTGCCTGATTGTCTGATTTAATTGCCAGGGTGCCCAAAGGCCTGGTCCCATAACCAAGTTTTCACTCTCCTCCTGAAGGCGAGGAGGGATGATGATGCCCTGATCTCCCCCGGGAGTGAGTTCCACAGGTGGGGGGCCACCACTGAGAAAGCCCTGCTCCTCGTCCCCACCAGCCTCACTTGTGACAGTGGTGGGGTCGAGAGCAGGGCCTCCCCAGATGATCTCAACTCCGAGGTGGGACGTAGAGGGAGATACGTTCGGACAGATACACTGGACCGGAACCGTATAGGGTTTTGTAGGTCAAAACCAGCACCTTGAATTGTGCTCGGAACTGAACCGGCAGCCAGTGGAGCTGGCACAACAGGGGGGTGGTATGCTCCCTGTATGTCGCTCCGGTGAGCAGTCTGGCTGCCGCTCGTTGGACTAGTTGAAGTTTCCGAACAGTCTTCAAGGGCAACCCCACGTAGAGAGCGTTGCAGTAGTCTATTCGGGATGTAACAAGAGCGTGGACCACTGTGGCCAGATCAGACTTCCCGAGGTACGGGTGCAACTGGTGCACAAGTTTTAGTTGTGCAAAAGCTCTCCCGCCCACCGCCGAGACCTGGGGTTCCAGGCTCAGCGATGAGTCCAGGATCACTCCCAAGCTGCGAACCTGCGTCTTCAGGGGGAGTGTAACCCCATCTAACACAGGCTGTAACCCTATACCCTGTTCGGCCTTACGACTGACCAGTAGGACCTCTTTCTTGTCTGGATTCAATTTCAATTTGTTAGCTCTCATCCAGTCCGATACAGCACGATTCAAGGTCTGGACAGCCTCCTTGGTGACAGGTGAGAAGGAGTGACAGATCTGGACATCATCTGCGTAGAGATAACATCTCAATCCAAAACTCCGAATGATCTCCCCCAGCGGCTTCATGTAGATGTTAAATAACATTGGGGACAGGATCGAACCCTGTGGGACTCCACACAACAACGGTTGTGGGGCCGAACAGGTGTCACCCAGTAACACCTTCTGGGACCGTCCCTCAAGAAATGACTGGAGCCACTGCAAGGCAGTACCCCCAAGACCCATGTCTATGAGGCGTCCCAGAAGGATACCGTGATCGACGGTATCGAAGGCCGCTGAGAGGTCCAGCAGAACTAACAGGGACACACTCCCCCTGTCCAGTTCCCTGCGAAGATCATCTACCAAGGCGACCAAGGCTGTTTCCGTTCCATGTCCCGGTCTAAAGCCAGACTGTGCCGGATCAAGATAATCAGTGTCTACCAGAAATCCACGTTCCAGGACTTTGCCCAAATAGGAGATTGGAAACTGGCCGATAGTTGTCTAATTGAGTGGGGTCCAGTGATGGTTTTTTCAACAGCGGTTTGATAATAGCTTGTTTTAAGCTCGCTGGAATCTTGCCCTCCTGTAAGGAGGCATTAACCACCACCTTCACCCACTCTGCCAAACCCCCTCTGGCTTCTT